CAGAGGTGAGATGGGAAGGCAGAGAGGGTTAGGAGCTGGTTGAATGGACATGGGGAATCAGGGGTGGAAAGGAGGAGTGTGCTGTCACAGTACGGAGAGAGCAATTAGAGTCCCATAAAAAAAAATTTAAAAAATGTACTACTAATAAATTTGGTCTTAGGGGTACAAGATCCTCATAACTAAAATTCAGCTTACTCAAGATGTACAACTGCACCAGTTCAACTTCTTCAACTACAACCACACCATAGCTTCCCAAAGCTTGCCCTAGTCAGCAATCTTCTTTTATAGAGAAAGTGGTTATTTATAACTCCTGACAAACACTGAACAACCAAGAGCTAATATTATCCTGCCCTGGTGGCCACACTGCCCAAGAGCTACAAGACGTAAAACCATTCTATAAACAATAATCAAAAAAAAAAACTATTAACTTTAAGTGAACACATTAAGCTGGCATGCTTGCAAATGTAGGTAAAAACTGTCTTCAACAATGAGAACAAACCATTTGAAGGTTTAATATGAATGTAGATTTACTACTTCCTAGGAATAACTGTTTTAATTCTTAATATCCATAATCACAATATCTAATGTCACAGTCTTTCACATGTATATTACATATCATGATTATTTTTTAAAAATCTAATGTCACAGTTAACTAAAAAATTGAAATATATTTTAAAATACTAAAACAGTCCAATTAATGCCATTTTAAAATTCAAAAATAACTGGATTGTATCAGTTGAGTCTGAGAGTTTACACACTTCCTTTAAAAATTCACTAATGCCACTACTCACACCTCTACTTTATAAAGCACAGCTTCAAATAGCACACGCATCCGAAAAAAAAAGCATTTGTAATTTCCTTATTCATCAATTTTACAAACAGGAGGCCTCAAAACCTATGTTCAGTTATCAACTACAGAACTATAGTAAGGAGTACTTCAAATTAAGGTGGATCATTTCCTAAGACTTCATATCATGTCAGAACCAAGAATCAAGCAACCACAGAATTTATTCATCTTACTGCTCTAATGTAAGTTAAATTTGTACCTTCTCTGCCACTGATAATGGCAACGTTTGGTTCATTTCTTTCTTTTTTCCCCTCATTCACTTACTAAAACAAGCTCCAAATGAGAAATACATAGCTTCTTAAGTTGTTGTTGTTAGGTGCCATCGAGTCGGTTCTGACTCACTGAGACCCTATAGGAAAGAGTAGAACTGACCCACAGGGTTTCCAAGCAGCAGCTGGTGGATTTGAACTGCCAGACCTTTTGGTTAGCAGCCGAGCTCTTAACCACTACGCCACCAGGGCTCACTGTTAAATTATCCCCAGGTTTGCCACTTCAGAGGAAAGTAATTATAGGGCACCACAACCACTTCCCAGCCAGCAGGTCCTCAGGAGAAAGACCGAGCAATCCATTCCCATAAAGATTACAGCCTAGAAAACCTTATGGGGCAGTTCTACTCTCTCCTATAGAGTAGCTCTGCATCAGAACTGACTCAACAGCACCCAACAATAACATCACCAGTTTAATGTTTATGAAATTGGGGATACCATCAATCTAAGAAAAAATTTTCTCACACCACCTTAAAGTGGTCTAACCTTTCGGAGCAACAAAAAAAGGAAACCCTTCCACATAGTGAGGCAGAAAATAGCCGGGTAAGCCAGATCCACCAGCAGAATGGTAACACAAGCTCCATGAGAACTGGGGATGGCCTCTATTCTAATTACCATTGTCCTCTTAGCACAGTACCTGTAACGCTGTAGGTGCTTAATAGTTTCTGAATGAATAAATGAATGATAGCTATCATGTATTGATCACTTACTACTGTGAGGAACTTAACTAAGCCTGTTACATATGTAACAAAAACTGGGGACTGGCAAGGATATAGGGAAAGGGCATACTATGACAATAAACCTATGAGGGGACCAGTATTACAGTGAAACCTGTGAGAGCTGGATCTCAACGGGACTGCCTTGTTTTACCGGGTCTCACAAGTTTTCCACCTTTGACAGGTACAATCTTACCACTTTTCTATCACTCTTTTTTAGTGGAAAATATTTGCGTTTTCCTTCTCTGACAGGTTTTTGCCTTACACAGGTTCCAGCTTTCATAGGTTTTACTGTATATTTTTTTACCATTTTACAGATAAGGAAACTGAGCCTCAGATGAGCCAGGAGTTTATCTTACCTAGAGTCTGGGCAGCTTCCCCTCTGCCACATCAATACCAAAATGAAGTTTAGAGGTCAGGAAACACAAGAAAATGGAGAACATAGTCTGGCCAAAAGTTGTATTATCAGACAATTCACAAACGAGTAAGTATGTGAACTTCCCAGTGCCATTTCAATACTGCAGACACACAGCCAATGGAGTCTACACTTGTTTCTAACAGGCTACACTTCTTCAGTTTCGTATGTTCACAGCACTGTGGGGTTCTTGTAAGTGCAGGTGCCCCGTTTAAAAAGAGACTGATCTACATAAAGAACAGCTTCCTAAACTGAAAGCTACAAGTTCAAAGCCAGACATAAGGACTCTAACCTCCCTTCGTTAAAATATACCTACATTCCCTTCCCGAAAGTCTACCTGACCAAAGGAATTCAAAAAACTGCCCAAATAAGTAAAAAGTGTTTAGCCAGCATACTATAACTAACACCTTGTCTCTGTAGTAAAAACGGAATCCTGTTACATCTTAGCTATTTCCTTAAATGTCCCTCAAACGAAGCATTCAGACGCTACTTAAGATTATTAGGCTTTCTTCTTAAAATATGAAACAATTATTTAGAGGATGAATTTTTTTTAACTCCCGGCTGGGAACGGAAGTTAAGTTGAGATTCTCTTCCTTCCTCAAGCAAGCAAGAGAACTGAGGAGCACCCCCACAAACACTCACGCCCCACAGTAAAAATGTCTCAGGGCCTCTTCACCTGTGGCGGTCAGCAGAGCAAGCCTGGATTTGCTGGGAATTAAGGCTCTCCTTCACTCGGGGCTAAGGCGGGGTGTGGGGGGAGGCACAGGGCAGAATGAACTGCTGCCTAAGTTTTCAATAGGATCATTCTTCTCAACTTGGGCAGTTCTTTCCTTCCGTCCTTCCTTCCTTCGGCCCGGGGCACACACCGAGCTTTGCCAGCGCGGGCATCACGGGCCGGGCCGGAGGGTAGCGCCGTCTCAGTCAGGCACCTCAACCGCCCTCGCAGTCTGGACGCTGGCTACCCGGGGCGCGCGGCCGGTATCCGACGCGGACACAGGGGCCGCAGGGCCACCCTCGCGGCCAGGCGTGGGGACCAGGAAGGGGCAGCCACGGCGGGGCGGAGGGGCGGGGTGAGCACTTCCTGACTCTCGCATTGTCCACGCACAGCCCGCGCCACCCAGGGCCCCGCCACCGCGCCGTCCCCGTCGGGGAGGAAGTTGGCTCTCGCCCCGCCGGCCCCGTCTTACCGTTCTTGGCGTCGCCCGCGGCAGCAGCCCCCGTGGCGGCCGAGGCGTTCGCAGCGCCAGCTCCTGCCCCTCCGGCGCCCGTCGTGCCCCCGGTACCCAGCGCGCCCGCCGCCACCGCTCCGCAACCGGCAACCGCCGCCAAGGCCCCCCCGGCCGCCGCGCCCGCCGCGCCAGCTGCTGCCAGGGCCCCGGCTCCATTTTCCTGCTCGTCCCCGCTGCTGTTGGCGCGCTTGTTTTTGCGGCCGCCTTTGCTGTTTTTGGGGTTGGGCATCTCGCGAGCGTCCAGGTGCCCGGAGTCAGCGAAGGCAGCTCCCCGAGGCGCGGCCGCTCATGCCCCCCGCGGTCCCGGCACCGAGAGAGAATGGAGGGCGCGGGCCGGCGGCTCCTCGGCGCCCGTCTAACCGCGCGGCCCGCGCCGCGCCATCCCGGCCGCCGCGCCCTGCCCGGCTTCCTGGAGCCGGTGCGCGGGCACCCGAGCTCGGGGCGCCACGGGCTCGGGGCGCTAGCGAGCCGCTCCCGAACCGGAGGGAAAAGGCGGGTCTCCGGCTTGTTTTGATTCGGCTTCGCTGACACGCTCTAGCCCCGCCCCGTCCGTGACGACACTGGGGATCCGGCCTGGCCGCGCCCACCAGGTGACCTCACAGCGGACAGGCCCGCCCGTGTGACGTCACGCCCTCACGCGGAGCCGGCCCACCTTCGAGTGACGTCATCCTGGGGCTCTCATCGCGGGTCTCCCTCCATCCTCCCCGACGTCTGCCAACACTCCTTTCCTGACAGGTCTCCAAAATGTCTCCTGACCTTAATGTAATCGAGGAGTTAAAATAATATAGTCCAGGAAAATAGGCAGATGATTACAAAAAAAAAAAAAAAAAACCCGTTGCAGTCGAGTCAATTCCAACTCGTAGTGACCCTATAGGACAGAGTAGAACTGCCCCATAGGGTTTCAAGGAGCCACTGGTGGATTCCAACGCAATCCTTTCGGTTAGTAGCCGAGCCCTTAACCACTGCTACACCAGGGCTCCAGGCAGATGACTAGAACCAAAATAAAACCAAACCCACTGCCATCGTGGAGTTGATTTGGACTCATAGGGACCCTGTAGGACTGACTATAACAGCCCCATAGGGCTTCCAAGGCTATAAATCTTTATGGAAGCAGACTACCATATCTTTCTTTCCTGGAGCGGCTGGTGGGTTTGAAGTGCCAACCTTTCGATTAACAGCCCAGTTAGCAGCCCAGTGCTTAACCACTGCGCCACCAGGGCTCCTTTATTCAAGAATGGAAAACAAAGGATTTTGGGTAGAAATCTATCAAAAGGCTTTACCATGTACAGTTTTAGATTCAGTAATTAAAGATATAGGGTGGAATTCTTACATGGGGATGAACAGCAGGGCCCCTGAATGGGAAGGTTCAGAGTCCAGTGATGAAAACAGTTTATTCAAACAGGGACCACCATTCAAGGCTGGCCTGCCTAGGAGAAAGAAAATCACTCCCTGTGAGAAGGACAGAATTGTCCTGAAATAGAGGTGGCCACGTTGTCAACAGGTGGAGAATAGAAGGTGACATCTGTGAGGAAAGCTAAAAACCTGAGGACAGGGAATTCCCGGAAAGAGTTTCTCCACAACTCCATTTTGCCTTTTCACAGGCTAGCTTCTTTCTGTCCCTCAGCTCAAACATATCACTTCCTTCAGAGACACTTTCCCGGAAGTGCTATCAGAAGTATCTCCCTGTTTATTTCCCTCATAAAACCAAACCAAATCCGTTGCTGTCCAGTTGATTCCAACTCGTAGCGACCCTATAGGACAGAGTAGAACTGCCCCAATAGGGTTTCCAAGAAGCACCTGGTGGATTTGAACTGCTGACCTTTGGTTAGCAGCCGTAGCACTTAACCACTACACCACCAGAGTTTCCTTAGTACTTGTAGCCATCTCTAATTACTTGGCCATGTATATGCTTGCTTAAAGGAGCCCTGGTGGTGCAGTGTTTAGGGGCTCAGCTGCAAACAGAAAGGTCGGTGGTCTGAACCCACAAGCCACTCTGGGAGAAAGATGTGACAGTCGGCTGCGGTAAAGATTACAGCCTTGGAAACCCTATGGGACAGCTCTACTCTGTCCTATGTCGTCACTATGAGTCAGAGTGGATCAACGACAATGGGTATGTTTACTTACTTCTTGTCTGTCTCCCTCTCATTTAAATGAAAGCTTTAAAAGTAAGAGATGTTATCTGTCTTGAGCACTTCAGGAAAGACCTAGCATGTATTTGTTAAACGTATAAATTGGATTCTTTTCCCATGAACTATTTTAGCTGACAATTTTAGTTTTCTCCTCCTATAGTGTAATCTTAATTAACCCAGCTCTTCAGTACAGGGCTCTGTGGCTGTGTTGTGAACCATCAAGAGATAGTAGTCTCCCCACACTTACCTAGCAGCGGGATTATGTTTGGGAGCTCTGGACAGCTACCCATCCCAAAGTCCAGAGCAGACCTTGGCACAGCAAGGAGAAGCCCTGGATACTCTGGAACAATTGCTGGTTGGTTTTTTAGTAGGAAAAAAAGATGAACGTTTTAATCTCCCAATGGATATTACAGAAAAGTGACCCTTTAAAGGGCCACATTGATGGGTAAATTATCTACATATTTAGTGTCTATATTTTCAAGTCTGTTTCTCCCTCACCCTGACCTCCTCTAAGCAAGAGGAGAGCAGGGATTGTGTCTATCTTTCTACCTAACTCTGCAGAGCCTAGCATAAAGCCTGACTCAGAGTAAGTGTTCAATAAATATTTGTTGAACAAAGGATGCCTAAAGCATTTTTCTTCTGGCTATGTTTTTCTGACCTTAAAGTCTCGGTGAAATCATCAATACTCTAAGAAGTCTCCCCTGACAACCCAAAACTAGGCTTTATCTCCATGTGCTCGTCTGTACCTTTTCCACCAGAGCAACTTGAACGCGCAGTATTGAAATCACTTATTTATTTGTCTGGGTCCCCACTGGAGTATAATCTCCATCTTATTTATCATTATATCCCCAGTGCCTAGCACGGTGCCTTGCCCTCAGTAGGTACTTGATAAATAGATGAATAAATAAATAGATACTTTGGATTTGGTGGCCACTTGGGCATGAGGGAAGAAGAAGAGGGTGACATCAAGAAATTTTGAAAACCAGAAAACTGAGGGAAATATGATGATAGTTAATTAAATGGAGGGCAGTGCAGTTGTGGAGAAAGGTAATGAGTTTTGTGTGGCCTATTCAGACTTAATTTCATTACTGATATGCCTCACTACAGATGGTTGACAGATCTCAAAATATTTTGGTGACCTTGGCTTAGGCCTTTTTTTTTTTTTTAACTTTCCGTGTGTGTGTGTGTGTGTGTGTGTGTGTGTGTGTGTGTGTTGGTGTAAGCAGCAAGGAGAAAGAAGCGTTAGGTTAGAGTACAAGAAAATTGAGGTAATTATTTTCTTGACTGCCACATTGCTGAAATGCCATATTGGATCCAAGTCAATGTGCATGTACCCTGCAGACAGACATTCACACCAGCTGCCTCCCACCTCTATATCACTGAGACTTAACAATTGGAAACTTTCCTACAAAAAATATCATAACTGGCTCAAAGCACACAGACATCCAGCCAGTTGCTGTTCTTCCTAATTGTGTGAGCCACCTCCTTCTCATTCAATCTAAAACATAATGAAAACGGAGGAAGAAGAAGCTGGGCCATTTCTTCCATGCTCAACCTTGATAATCTATTTTTAGTCCTAGTCAAATTTGAAGCAGAGGCCATACTTCCGTTTCTCTTGCTGCAAAGACAATATACTAAAATCAAGATGTCAGAAACAAAATTTAGGTGCAGTTAAAGGACTTCATTCTCCTCGAAAAAGTATGGAATATCACGGGAATCCTGCTGTTTTAACTTACTCATCTTTCTCTTTTCCGCACCATTTTTTAAGGTTCACAAGCAAGGGAGAGACAAAGAATCCACTGAAAGGAGCAAAAGATGGTAGATGGAGAGACAGAGCCCTTCTCTCAGGGCTTCCAAACCAAAACCAAACCAGGTGCCCTTGGTTCCAACTCATGGCAGCTCCATGTGTTGCAGAGTAGAACTGTGCTCCAAAAGGTTTTCAAGTTGGGTTCAAACTGCTAACTTTTCAATTAGTAGTTGAGCGCTAAACCATTTACACCACCAAGGGACTCCCTGAGATTTCCAGGAGGAAATATAAAGAGTCTTGGGAAACTGTGGAAGCTGCTGTGCTCTATAAATCTACACTTGCCTTCTCATACCTTAATTTCCCTGACTGACTCATGTGTGCTCTGAAATAAACTTAAAAAAAAAAAATTACACCTCTATCCAAGGTTTCCTTCCCCCATACTTCATCACCTGCTCCATCCCCAAGTTTCCTGCAAAAATAAAATAAACCCAACTCACAATAATCAATCAAGGCCATAAAATGTAAACAATTTACTTCTTTGAGGAAAGGGACTTTTTCTCAATCTGCAGGGCTGGATTGGAATGAGTAACCATTGTTTCAATCCTCTAGCTTTCTTTGTTTGTTGGAAATTCTGTGACCATCTCCTGATCACTTGGAGTCAGCTAAGTCATTTTGGCTAGGGTTAGTGTCCTAGTTACCTAGTGCTACTATAACAGAAACACCACAAGTGGGGGGCTTTAACAAACAGAAATTTATTCTCTCACAGTTTAGGAGGCTAGAAGTCTGAGTTTAGGGCACCAGCTCTAGGGGAAGGCTTTCTCTCAATGTTGGTTCTGTGGGAAAGCCCTTGTCTCTTTCAGCTTCTGTTTCTTGGTTCCTTGGACATCTCATGTGGCGTGGCATCCATCTTCCCCCATCTGTGCTTTTTGGCTGCTTGCTTAATCTGCTCTTTTATATCTCAAAAGAGATTGATTTAAGATACATCCTACCCTAATACTGTCCATTAACATAACAAAAAAACCTTATTCCCAAGTGGGATTATAACCATAGGTGTAGTAGGATTTACAACACATATTTTTGGGGACATAATTCAATCCACAACAATTAGAGTACATAATACATGTCATATACGTGTTTAGTATACTTGAAGACAATAAACAGGAAGTCGGAAGCCCAGTATTAAAATACCACTGATTCAAAAGTCACATAAGGACTCAAAAGGAATTCTATAAATAACACAGTAATGCACCCAAGAGTATGTTTCCCCAACTGAAACATAAACTAAAAGGTTTTAAAGCTCAATCTGCTAAGAAGTTACTTCAAGTAAATATACCTTGAACAATATACAGTATCTCTTCTTCTGGAATTATCCTCTCCTATGCCAGAAATTCAGGCCAGACTCAGAAGAGGACGTGGAATGAGTAATATCATTGCTGATGTCAGACGGATTTTGGCTGAAAGCAGAGAATACCAGAAATATGTTTACCTGTATTTTATTGACTATGCAAAGGCATTCGACTGTGTGGATCATAACAAATTGTGG